GGTCGGTGTTGTTGATGATGATGTAGATTTTTAAGGAAATGAAATTATTTATTTTTTGTTGTAATCGTTATATTTGTTTTATTGATTTGTATGATTTTATAAAGTATCAAATATTGCGAATCGCCGTAACAATCTTTAGCTTTGTCGACAATTTCAAGTGGGTTAAGTAAGGAATGTCGAAAGATGATCTTAAGTTGTTCGAAATTCAAGTTCGAAGAATTCCACTTGATTTAATTTGCTTATACATACCTATTTCAACAACAATCTGACGCTACATAGTTTTGAGCGAAATAAACGGCATATTTAACCATGACGTTAATTATTAGGGGATCTTAGAAAAGTGTAATCTATCATACTATACCATATAAAACTGCCTCCATGGCCGTACGGTTATCATGCCGGACTGCCACGCAGAGGTCCCAGGTTCGATTCGCGTCCCGGAAGAAATATTTGTATGGCCTATATTTATTTCGCTCGTGAGTTTGGGTGTAATTTGTGGTTGTCTGTGTGTGTGTCCATGGCACCCGCGACACAGGGTTTCCCTAGTGCGGGGCTATTTTGAGTGTGTGCGTTATTATTATTGTTATTATTACCACTGGGAGAAGGGCGTGACAGCATGTGTATGTTGTGTTGCTGTTTGTTTCCCCGTTGTTATTTTAATCAAATCAACGCAACTACATGGTTTTCGACTTATGAATAACGTCGGTAGAAATTGGATATTATATGAATATGAGAATTCTGGGTACAATGTTTAGAAGTTCTATACAGCAAATTAACGGTTTTGGTCTGGGTGTTTTTTTTTATTTAAAAACAATGTTAGAGTGCATTTGAGCTCTATCTCACCTGATGGAATGATTTCGAATAGTGTTTTATTTTTTTTCATAGTACCAAGTGACGGGACGAACAAGTCGTGCGCCTAGTGGTATGCGACTCGCGTGTCCATAACAATTGCAGTGCTACACGGAGCTTTCAGTAGTAAAACTTTTTACCCTGAAACATAATTTGACAAGTCCCATGTGCCTGTAATTTCACCAGAACAATTCCTCTTAAAAACTGGAACGCAGTAATTCTCACATTATTGGCGGCAGAAATAGATACGGTGGCCGTACTTCCCTGGACGAGCTTTTCACAAAGAACCAGCCGCATGGCTTGTTCCTACCGTCAATTGATATTATAAAAAAAGTATATATGGGGAGTTGGGATAACTCAAATAAGAAGCTTAGCTATAGGTATACCTAATATTCGATGGTCATTGTTATATTATAAGCACAGATAAAATAACGACGCATTCGTTACTCCGCTTATGCTACATGCTAAAACATTGCTTCGTTTCGAGAATAAATTCAAATAAATGCCATCTATACAATTTCTTGCAAACTAACAAATCAAAAAGTATATAATACAATTGAGAAAAATTCGATCTTTTCTGTTTACTGTTTTCACCAATTTGTCATAGTTGTGAATGAATTTTAATAGAACATTCCTAAAATGTTTATATATTTTGAATTTCTTTTTTATATTTTATACTTCTTATTTAGTATGACTTACCTCAATTTTTCGAGATTCAATACTTTATTTTTCTTTATTTTGTCCAAGTGTTGCCATCTATACTTTTAAATATTATCTGCTAAAGTTAATTTCTATGAATTGATACCTTAAGTTATTAGTACATACCTTCAAGGACCTATCTAAAAAAAATTCTTTATTGTGAAAGAAGTGTTGAAGTTAATTTACTTTTTTCGCGGAATCTAGAAATTATCAAAAGTTACGATTAAGGTAATACTTGGCATTCTTATTATACCGCTAGAAATTCTTACCTTGCAGCGATTGAAGTGTCAACAGTTTATGTTTTGTGTCGCACGGGAAATGGGTGATTGTCGCTGCAGTTTCGTGCGTGAGGGCACAATTGCTAGGAGGGGCACACCACGTCGCCTGTTGCAGTAATCGTTCGGTACCCAGAAGGTCTACTCTCAAAATATATAACCGCAGCTGCGTACGAAATCAAAACCATCCGTGAGCCGTCCGCTGTTCGTTAGTCACAACGCTTTCGTTTTGGTCTTCGGATCCCATAGACAATAATGGACCGATAACGTGAATGTAAAATGTGTGAATGGTGAACTTCTTTTACATGTAGGAAATGAAACTATTTTTCCGGATTTAAATCGCGTATATTTGTTTTTTTCAAACAATCTTTCTTTTACATGCTTATACAAAAATTTAACGGAACAAATGGCGGATGTCCTTAGTGTTGTACCATAATCTATCGAAAAATCATTATCGACTTGGAAACGTTTAATTAAAGTCGATCAATATTCCATTTGGGAATATTTTACGTCTTATGGTAATATCCGGGAATGTCATGTGAGAATTTATTATTGTACATTTATAAATGCTCAAATATTACAAAAAGTGAATTTGTGCAGGAAAAAATGTAATTTGAGAGTATATTAAAAAAGCGAAAATTTTATAATACTAATCTGACGATCTCTACGCAAAGTCAAAGTCAAAGATCATTTATTCCATAGGTAAAATAAATTTACACTTGAAAACGTCACATTTAAGCTACTGCTCGTTCATTACGTTGATCTCCCTGAGAAGAACGAGCAAGAAACTCTAGGGATTAATAATAATAATAATAATATAATAACGCACACACTCAATATAGCCCCGTACTAGGGAAACCCTGTGTCGCGGGTGCCATGGACACACACATAGACAACCACAAATTACACCCAAACTCACGAGAGAAATAAATGTAGGTCTTACAAATATTTCTCTTGGCCCGGGAATCGAATCTGGGACCTCTGCGTGGCAGTCCGGCATGGTAACCGTTCGGCCACGGAGGTAGTTAGGGATTGCTCGTTTCAAATAAAGTTATATGCTATGGAATACACTTTGAATCAAATTTGTCTTTCCATACATCTTTATCTAACACGTAGTCTTCAATTTTGTAATATGACTTTTCGATCAAAATATTTTTAATGCAGTTTTTAAACTTAGGAAATGATAAACTTAATATATGCTCCGGAATCTTGTTGTAAAAACGTATACAGTTCCCCATAACAGAGTTGTTTACCTTGGTTGAACGAAATCGTGGTACCTTGAGTTTGGACTTATGGATATCTTCTTTCTTATTGACATTATGTATATTTTTACGGGCATATAAAATATTTGAGTGAATATACTGTGATGCCACAGTCATGATACCAGGCTCCTTAAAATTTTCTCTGAGAGAAACCCGAGAGCCTAGACGGTACACAGAACGAATGGCTCAAATATGGTTTGAATATCTTTTCCACTGGACTCACACTGTCCGTATTATTTCTGAAAATATTTAAAAAGAACCTTATTAATGACACATTCCTACGCAATTCCAAGGACTCAAAACCCAAGTGACCTTGCAGGAAGCGTGTACGCAGGGTACAGAAATGGGTAGTAATAATATTTTTTTTTATACAAATTTCTCAAAATCTTTTTTGCTTAACTTGAACTTGCTCCAACATGAGAATATATTTATTTTCATATGGAGTCCAAACCACTGCATTCGTCTCTAGGATGCTTCGAACCAGTGCCGTGTATAGCGTTTTCGTTGCAGAAGTATTAAGTGGGGTAGCGTTACACAACACGGACCCTAGACTCTGATACGCACACTTTGTGACATTCCGGGCATGGAATGTGAGAGAGACGTCAAAGGTAAGCTCCGAGATCACGGACCTCGCTTACACGAACCATCCATTCACTAATAGATAATAATTGATGGACGTGTCTGTCTGCATTCCAGATTTTTGAAGGATCTTTGAGAAATATCAACCATTGTGTGTTTTTTGTTTTAGAGTCATATGTGCTGTCGAAATACTTCTTTGAAAATTGTACCTCTCGGGATTTTCATAACGTTCAAATTTGCAGTTGAATAAAACTGACTGTTTCTTGGCTTAACTTTTGTACTCGAAATGAAATTGTACGGAACATACAAAAATAAACAATATGGGAAATTCGCGGAAAAATGATAACAACAAGTCTTTAATTAAATTTTTATTGAATTGATATTCAATTATTTTTTTGTGAAACTACGACTAAAAAGTCGTTGAAAAACCAAGTACAAAGACACGACGCAAGCACATAGAAGAATTCGTGAGGTCAGTTGGTTCGTTCCGTGGCTTAGTTGGTATAGCGTCTGGCACGGTATGCAAGAAGACGTCGCGTCGGTTCGAATCCGACCGGATCGAAGGAATTTATTCTGAGTGTTTTTTCTGAGTTTTCGATCTTTGTATTAATAATTATAACAAACAAGTCTTTATTTCTTAGTTACAAGCTGTTTGAAGGGAGATATAAAATATTTAAAATTTATACTTACAACAAATTAAGCAGAAGTGCAAGTAAGCAGAGTCCGGTAAAAAAGCTATGTGGTAACTTGCAATAATACTCAAATGATTACTATTTTATACGTTATATAATTGGATTTACTATTTTAAGAAATCAAATTTAAATATAAAGAGAGTTACCAATAAGAATTCTCTTGTAGAGTCGAAGCCTCAAAATCTCAACCATCGCGGAAAAGTAGCCTGCTTGTCGGATTTCATTCGAATACATTTCGGGGAGTGTGCGCAGGAACTTTTTAATTTAGTTCCACCCTGACCGTCCTCCTTCGGTCGGACTAGAAGGTCCGGAGCACTCCATTCTTATGTCGTTGATATTTCACCTATTCGCACTAAGCGCTTTGTTTCCTCCTTTCTGATGGTACGGCAAAGGAATGGAATGCTCTACCGGTCTGTGTTTCCCAAAAAGTAAAAGTTGGGGCTATTCAAGGCTAGAGTGAATAGGCATTTTTTAGGCAAAAGCGTCCCATCATCGGTCACATCGTCGCTTAACATCAAGTGAGATTGTGGCCAAGCGTGTGTTTATTATATATGTAAAAAAAAATTAAAATCTAATAAAAAAAAAATCAAAAACGCTAGGAGAATATGGGTGACAAAAATGTTGTATTGATATCTTTGTTAAAGATAATAAATGGGACTGCAGCGACCATGGACTGGATTGGCTGGCAATGGAAAGAGAGAACAGCACAATACGAAAGAAGATCGTAGATTACTATGAACTGGTCTGTCACCAGCAGCTTTACAAAGGAAAACCACTTCACAAAGTTATGGACATCATTAAGGTCTGTAAAATCTGCATGTTTATGTAAAATAAAGTTCATCAAGCACGTAGACATCGCATATTGAGGACATCCGAGACATTTTGGGACACTCAATTATTATCAGCAACAGTTTTTCTTTTTACATATGTATAGGTAATACATATCATCACACCTGTCTCCCACCTGCTATGTTCCTGGTAAACCTCTTTTGCCTCCTACACTCTCATCAGTCTCTTCATATATGCCCGCTTATTCTTGAATCAATTTTGTTAAAGTCATTTTTTGAAAATATCTTTGTAGAGACCAGACTACGCCTGAAACTTGTATAAAATTGATGGTGTCATTTCATTTATCATTGTAAGTGAAAAGCTAGAATAAGGGAAACATGAATTTTATGAAATTGTTTTGAATTTGTTATATAACAAGTTTTTAATGAAGTATTAATTGGGAATTTCGTAATTAAATACATTAACCTTTTGCTCTTATGAAACTCAATAGAAATAATTAATATTCACAAATGGGGTGACTTCTTTGGGTTCTCCGGTAAAAATGGGTGTTCCGCAAGGCTCAATACTTGGACCTTTCTTATTTCTGATTTATATTAATGATCTACCATTCTTTGTCGAGGACCATTGCGATAGTATTGTTTGCTGACGATACATATTTGATTTTTAAAACAAACAGATATGACATTAAATATGACCATATTAATGATACCCTCTCCGAGGTAGTTTTATTGGTTTAATACTAACAATTTAATGCTTAATGCCAAGAAGACAAAAGTTAAAGTGTGTTAAATTTGAATTACCTAACGTAAAATGGTTTCCACATATACTTTCTCTGGCCAGCAGATTAAGCTCTGCTGCATACGCAGTCCGCAGGATACGTGAGCTTACCGATGTTAGTACTGGTAGTTTACTTTAGTTACATCCATAGTATAATATCCTACGGGATTCTCATGTGGGGTAAAGCGGCAGATATTCAAACCATATTTGTATTGCAAAAACGAGTGTTTAGTTCTATGTACCGACTAGGCTGTCGGATTTCTCTCAGAGAAAAGTTTAAGGAGACTGGTATCATGACTGTGTCACAGTACATCACAG